TTACCTTCGATTATTTTAAATATGACTTTATAAAACTGGATGATGACAACAAGGGGACTCTAATTTACATAGAACCGGATCTCCTTGCAAAGTGTACAAATGTTTACACATTCCGAAAGCAAATGGACATTGCGGATACGATCTTATATGGTGGACATACTTAAGCAAAATCGAGTTCTACTTTGAGGACATTGAACGTTTGCCAAAGTGTTCACGTGACTCCTATTCGACGGATGTCGCACGTGTTCATTAGCAATAAACAAGTTGGAGTAGTTTTTTTACCTCTTTTTGAAGTCCAATATTTCACTTCTAAAATCAAATCTCTTCTCGGGCCGCCTACTTCTTAAATTAAGAAACAGAAAATCTAGTGTCTGCTTTGCATCATTTTGTCACCTTTAAATAAAATTATATTCATATTGTAAATATTTGTATATTCGCATAAATTCGTTCGTCGAACATGGTTGCTTTGAAATGGCAACGAAAGCATGCGTGTGACCCAAACAGCATGCGTATTGATAAAATTCGAAACAATACAAGTTAGATTTTGAGTTGAAATGTTTTGGTTTGCGTGACTTCTGGAAGGTTGTAAAAAGGTTTGCGTCTTCCTCTTTTTTGTATAATTTTTCTGTCAATTCAATTTTTAAATCGATTTGAAGTTTGTGGTTCCGCAACTTCTAGGATACCTTTTGGATTCGTGTTCGGACTTCTTATAATTACATAAAAAATATGGAAATGTTTAAAATTCAACTGTTGTCCTTTTCTTACGCCAATAAAGATTGGTTGAATGGAATGAAATAACGCTCACTTTTAGCTTCAGCAGAATCGTTACTTACAGAGCATGAAATAGAGATTTATGTAATTAAATTTATAAGTATAATAATGACAGCTGATTCATATGGATTCTGCTTCCATAAGGATGAACAATTTTAATTAAATTAAGCTTGCAACGAATAGTTCTTCGGGATGTGCTAAAAACAACTCTATTATAAACAACGAGTAGCAAAATAGTTTATCTCAATTTTTCCAACAAGAGGAGGACGTTTGGAAGAAGAAGAAAAAGAAGGGGAAATATACTACTAGAGCCTTTTGCTTACAGTTCAATATACACCTTTAGAGGCATCTTTGTAAATTAAGGGCTCTAGTTAAGCGGGAGAGAGCCTGGCTGTCTCTACGTCGAGTTGAGTTCTTAATTTTGTCTAGATGCATCACCATTTCCGCGCTCAAAATGCTGGCTTCTTAACCTCTCGTGGTATTTAGCATTTTTCCTATAGTTAGACGTCTGGAGGTCTTTATGCTCATCCATCACCCTCCATATTATCGTCAATGCACATTGCACAAACTTATTTCCTAAAAACGTGGTTCATTTTTGTTCGCTGTCTTTATTTGTGTGTTATGTGGCTACTTCGCCAGCACATTTGGAGCGATCGAAAATTTGTTTTTAGAGGACTTTGAGGCAAGAGTCGTTAAGACCGAAAATTACTTCCGTTCGTTCTTACTGCAATTATCTCTCCTCCCCTCCCTCCTCACTCTCTGTCCTTTTGAATGTCTCACGCAACCGGATAGATATTTGCAACTGTGTATCCCAGGCAAAAATCAAGTTAAGCAATTGGGTCAATACAAACAAGGCAGCTGTGAAAATTGAGGAATAAAATGCTACAACTTTTTTTCCAAGCGAGTAAAATGAGCAAATACTGTGTATTGTTATGGGTACCAACTTGCAGGATCGATGCTTTGCGACGTTTCAAAGTAAAGCATAGTCTATTTATATCAAATGGCAGGTTATATGATATTTATCATTAGTCCTTCCGTTGATTGCGGGCTTCCCAGATTGGAGGAACAGCAAGGTGAGAAAAAATCGAGAGGGGGAATAGAAGAGTGATTCGTAGAGGTAAAAGAGACAGACACAAAGGTAGAGAAAAAAGGTAAGATAAGGTGAGTACTGTGAAACTGGCCGAATATGACATACAGTCGAGTGATGGTAGTTTGAAGTCAGAAGTCAACTGCCGATTAATAGACTTTTTGACGTATGAGTATACGTTGCCCAGGGTGCACCACGTGGAGGTAAGTCTATCGCACACCCCTTATTACTGAATATGAGAAGATAGAAACCGTTGAAAACAGTGAGGTCATTCACTGGCAAACAACAGAGCATCAAAAGAAATGATCAATTCACATCTCTCATAAATTTATATATAGTAATTTCATTACTCATCAGCATTTAATAAAGGACTAGAAAAATCTGTTTCCTGAAGATTCTGATTATGAACATACATGGATAGTGTTACCAATAAAATGAGGCAGTTTCAATTTTTCAAACAGATTTAGCTGTTTATACATGATAATCTTATTGGAAATGGTGATGCCCATTGGCAGTCGAAAGAGAGCCTACAGTGCTGGTGAATGGTCCAAGACAGAAACTTGTTACCAGTTTAATTAAATCAGTTAATACGTAAACCTTGTGGAATTTAAAAAGTGATGCTGAATTAATTTTGAAGTCAATGAAGTATTATTGACTAAAATTTTGAATTCGGTGCTGAACATTAAAAATAAAAATAGAAAAGCTAATAATTAAGGCACAATTATTAAGAGGATAGCGTTCGAACATATAACTCGACGGGTAAAGCTATTAAACTCAATTTATAAAAAATAATGCAATCAGAAGCTTTCTTCATTAAAAATTGAAACTTTAGTAAAATAACTTGACCTTTTTTAATTATTTCAAAATAAAAATTTATTACTCACGCTTTAGTGCGATTTAATATGTTTAGTTGTGCTAATTGTGATAACCAAATAACGCGCCTTTGCGAATAACAAATTGAAATATGGTATTATAAGCACTGATGAGTCTTCAGTGAAAAATGGAAGATGAATTATATGTTCAAGAACTTGATGATTATGTTAAGAGGCATAATATTCATAAAATTCTCCGGGAATCGATAGTTAATCTCTGTCTATATAGGCCTGAGAACCCCATTCATTTCCTACACGAATATTTTGAGGCTCTAGATGTAAATGCATAAATTAGATGTTGTATTCGATGGATTAATTTTTACGCTTAATTTAATCGATGTTTTTACGTCAGGTCTCCTCTTCAAATTCACATAAACCTACCTCAAGTTCCACATCCAAGCCCACCGTTACGCCACCGGTAAAGGAATTTTCCAATGCAAACAATAGCTACCCGTCTCCATCAGCTGGTTCTGAACCCTCCTCTATGAATCCGGATAACATTCCCCTTGACGAGTCCTCCACAAGTACTCAAAGACGTCATTCTGGTGAGCAGTGGTCAAGCAACCAAAATGGGCTTAGTGATGGTGATGATACCAGCGAAGCTCGATTTCATTCTTCCCCAATTCTTAGAGCATCCAGTTCATCATGCTCAGCAGGTTCTTTCAATGCTACTCGTCGAGTTAGGCGTGGCGCTGTGAGTGGAGAAGTATACACTGAAGAAGACGCGGCTTCTTATGTGAAAAAGGTAATTTTGAGTTTTCGAATGATTTATTTTAAATGAAGTTGATATTCGATGCTTTTTTTCACGGTTTCGTTGTCACGTGAAACTTGTGATTTTTTTATTTAATTACACTTCTTGTGTTTAAGACAGAATTTACTGCCTCTCACTTTTTCGGAAATTTTTAATGTATAATGACACCTTAAATATTTAATTGTTTTGATTGAGATCAACTTATCTAAACCAATGATCACTTTAATCTTTTTAAAATGCTTCTCTCGATCGGA